TCATGGTGAGTTACCCCTGTTTGGCGAGTAATCCCTGTTCCCAACTGCTCCAAACTGGAATTCGATGAGTAACCCCAATTTCCTACTTGTACTGTGGTGAGTGTGCCAAATGTCATCCCTTGACTATAGCAACTGATGGTGAATGATAATCTTTGTACATATGGAAATGTGTCGTTTATGGTAGTCACTTATGTTCGCCACCCCTTTGGGCCCATTCTGACCCCTTTGGGCCCATTCTGATCGAAGAGTCTTTTGGGCAGTTGGTTGCGAAAATTTACTTGCGTTTGTCTCTTTGCGAAAACGCCCCCCAAAACAGCTTCTGTGTGCCTTTTGGTTTCCCTTTCAAACCAAAACAGGGGTAGCCTCAAACAAAGGACTCCCACTTTCCTAGGGGACATCACAAGCTTCCCAATAAGAAGGTTCTAGGTCTTACCAAGCCAAGGTGGGGGGTCAAACATCCAAGGGCATTTTAAGGCATGGGTGCGTCTTTTTGAGGGGACCCTTTTTGTGGGTAGTTTTAAAAGGAATCCCAAAGGAAAAGCCACCACTTTGGAGGTCGGTCGGGTATGGAGGTTGGTGGTATGTAAGCCATACCTCCGACTACCATACTGGAAGCTGCCCCGGGCTTCCTGTTGGCTTCCTCTCAAAACAAATCGAAGAGCGGTACCTTGGTTGACGTTCGAAAAACAGCAACAATAATTTAGACTTTAGCTGTTAAGTTGGGATTTCCCACTAAGTTGACTTTGGAAGGGGAGCAACAATAAGTAAATTGTAGCTGTTAAGTGGTTGGATTTCCCACTAAACCACAATAAGCAAAAATGCTAAAATGTGTCCCAACAACAACCATGGTACCTCCCAGAAACACCGAGTTGGTTTGTCTGTGTCTCCCCAAAGGAGGGTCTGAAAAGAGTTAAAGGTTACCGGGCTGCCCGTTTTCGGATCCCCCGCCAAAAGTGGCTAACTGTTCGTGGGTTAAATTCGGAAATCCAACCACTAAACACTAAAAGGCTAAACAAAAACAAAGGAACCGGATGGCTGGGAGCCAGCAAGGTATGCTTCACAAGGAATGCTTCACTAGGGGGTCGATCATTTCTCCGCAAAAAGACCCCCCTGGTCAAAGGTTAGATGTCCAAGGGAATGAAGTTGATGTCTGTGACTTCGACAAGCTTGGCTTCCAAAAAAATGCCGAGCTCCCTTGAGCTCGCCGCGTGACACCCGAGCCGTTCCGGGAGGGAAAACTCTGAATTCGCAGCGCCCAGTCCACCCATTTGAGAGCTACTTTCCAATTTGCCTGAGTCCTCTGCAAACAACATATTTCCAGTAGCTTAGTTGTTCAGTGACTCTGGAAAAAAAGGGAACCCTTTTTGGGGAAGACCATTTTTAGTGGGGCAGCCACCAAAAAAGGGGGAACTAATTGGTGCCACTGAACAACTGAGGTAGTGATAGTAAAGCCAAGAGGGCAAAATAGCAAACATTCTCAACCGAATGGACTTGGATCCCTTGCTAGGAAACCTTTTTGTGGGATATGGGTCTGTCTTTCTTGAGTGTACTGTTTGGTGACGATTTTAAATGAAAACCAAAAAAAGGAAATCCAGCATGATTGGGGGTCGCCTAAGAACACACACACACACACACATTTGTGATAAACCCCCTCTGGCACCTCTGAAAACTGTTCGTGTAGGACACACTTGCAAGTTTGGCTTCTCTCTAAAACCACCCCAAAAACACGACACAACAACTACATCGGACTTAGCCATAGGTTACTTGGGTGTTCGATTCGCCAAGTGAGCAAGGTGTTGGTAACCTAGGTCAACGACTTGTAAGTTGCCCGTGAATGCTAGGTTCACCTTGTTAATCCTTGTTAATCGTGGACGTTACGCCACGAAATGAAACCATGGTTCACACCATTGTCTGGGTCCTCCAGTAATTAGAGAGGTTAGAATAAGAGTACCCTTTCTTCTGTAGTCTATTTTTAGTAGGGGAACCATCCCCCCAAAAAAGGGGTGAGAAAGGGCACCTCAGGGTTACTTAGGTAGCTTAGGACTAGGGAAGTTGTTGGGCGCTCCGCGGACTTCAAACGTCCATGCTGATGTACTCGGCCAAAGGCTGTCTGGAGGCAAAGGCAGACCTCGGCTTGCGAAAGCGAAACGGCCCTGTTTTTCAGACGGTGACGAGGGTGAAAATCGACAGCTCCTCATATGGGTGTGGGTCAAAAAGAAACCACTACGGGACCGCAGGTTTTAGTCCATGTTTCCATTTACCAGGGTTCCATTTTGGGTACCTTTTTTTCCCCAATGTCATCCGCATGGCTGCAGATGACTCCGAGGCAATCCGAGCACCAAGCTAGGGCTTCACTGATAGGCTCGAACTCCGCAACTCCGTCCCCCGCCGCAGGTCCCACGATTTGCACCTGTTGATCTTTTTTCCCCAATGGCATCCGCGTGGCGGGTGAAAATTGACGGCTCCTCATATACCCCTCCCAAATGCTTGGTTTGGTTTTGCTCCACCCGCTCGGCACATGGGTTTTGAACGTGACCTTGGAGAAACCCGAGGACATCCTTCAGCGGATCCAAACGAGATTTTGCTTTTATCCTTTGGGAGCGGCCAACCGGCCAACCGGAGGGTTCCAAAATGGGGCAGGGTACGTCAAGGTGGGTGGCCCGAAAACACATCTAAACTTTTGTTTGCCACCGAATATGGTCTTCCCGAAGCTCAAAAAGCGAGCAAGTCCTCCACGCCCCTTACCTTGGATACTAACAGCTGACGTACCCCTGCCCTTTCAGGTGCTCCCTTTTACAAGGTTCAAGGTTTCATGTTCGAAATGGGATCCGGCGCACGTAGTGCTTCGTCGACCCCTTAATGGCTAACCTTTCACTGGGACATGTGATATATATATATATAAGCCTTTGATGCCAAACAAAACATGTGCAAACTTGGCCACATCTGAGGTACTCCATGCTTTCAGGTTCTTCCCCATATTTCGTCTACCCCAAAATGCAGGTACGTGTGGGAAACCGCCAAGCGAGAAGATGTCTGCCAGGGCACAGCCGAAGACCCGTCAAGAGGCCCAGCAGAAAGATCCCGCAGACTGGGAAAGACAGCCTTGCGAGTCGTTGCGACTTCGGGTTTGTTTGCCATGTCTCCAAACCACTTAAACCACCTGGCTCTGGGCAACAAGTTGAACTTGATCCCACCAAAAGCTGCTTGTTCGCTAGAAGGAAACACATCACTCGTCCCACAAAAACAACAACACACACACACACATGTCTGTGTGTGCGCCTCATCTTGTCGAAAGTGCAAAAATCCAATCAACGACCACTTAAATCTTGGCGAAGGTGTCCCTTGGCCCAAAACCCGGAGTTTGCTGTTTGGGGGGGGGAAGACCAAAATCACGATGATTGTTGTATATCTTCTTTTCTAAGACAAAACATGTATACACATAGTTGGGTTCCTTGTTTGTCCTTGTGTCTTTCTTGGGGTGGGGGGGGGGGGTGGGGGACATTTCCCCACGCAGGTTGAAGGTTTCTTAGGCTCAACCATATGACGGTCAAGTCACGGGAGGCGGACCGAACGTCTTGCCTGAACGTCCGCAAGCCATGGAGTAGTACTCTTTTGAGGGCCGTGGCCACAGGATTCCCAATATGTTCTTGACTTAAAACATCACCCGAACGGAAACTCATTTAGAACAAGGTGATGAGTTTACCCCGCAGAAGGGAAACATAGCCCAAGTATTGCAAGACCGAGCCTCACAGTACTCACTGGTACAACGATTTGGCGTCCCGCCCAATAATTCATAGTCCCAGCAATAGTGTGCAAATGTATTTGAGTGCTTTTTTTAGGGGACCCTCCAAAATGGGTTTTTTCCTGTTGGCTTCCCTTTAAACACCGCACAAAAGGATACCAACTCAAAAGAACGAGCCACCCGGGAATCGTGGGAGAGGCTGTGAATGGGGCGGGGCGAGTTTGAAGCGTTTTGGCCAACAATAAAACTGGGGTTGTCTCAAGGTAGGGGAGTTGTCCATGTTTCCAAACTTCCGGGGCGCCTCCAGAATGGGAAAGAGGGGGCTGGCAAAGACATGTGGCCCTGGGAAAGCAAACAAACTGGGCGGCCCCTTTTTTTCAGCGCACCCTTTTTGGGTTGTCCTTAAAGCGAAACCAATGGACACGGCTTGCCTTGTTTTTGTAATTGCTTTGTTTTTTCTTCTCTTCTTTCTTTTGGGGGATGTCCCCCATCTTGAGACAAGTTCAAATACACCAAACCTCTGCGCTTGGGTTTCGTCAAAAGATGAGAGCAGGGCGACCCTGTTTCAAACACCAAAGAGGGTACCCTTCGACAAAACCTGTGGGGTTCATCAAAACCCCCGACAGTTAACTTTTTCGGGCCCTGCGCCGGGAGAGCGGATGCCCTTTTTTGCAATGACTCATTGCGGATCCCGGCCCAAGGTTGCGGAACATGGGACCCTATGATGCCAAAGTGTGATTCGGATGGAGTCCCTTTCAGTGTGGAAAGGGTTTCCATCTGTGCTTCTCTATGACTACGTGGTCGCTTGGAAGGATTTTTTTGTCTTTCTTTCCGTGCCTCTCTATGACCACGTTGTAGCTGCGAAGGAGACTCCCATTTTGTCCGCAACCATGGATCCTGGTAATCGCCCTCAATGCATCTCAGCGACAAGGGAAGGTTTGTCCGCTTTGGCTGGCAATGCTGAATGGATGCCAGAAAGCTGACAAATTGGAAAACCCTGTAACATGGAACAAAACGCGCTGACTCCGCTGCCATGCCTGTCGCAGGAGTCATCGCAGAAACTCTCTCTGCCCTCTTGCAGTGCGCTAGGCTTGTGCCAGTTGACGCTTAAAAGTGACGCAGCGAGTGCGTCTTTATGGAGCCGCCATGTGACCGTTCAATTGCTCATGCCATGTGGATGACAAACATAATTTGAGCTGTCAATTCTTTGCCATGCCATGGCTGAGCAACCCCCCATGGCCAAGCGCCAAGCGGGGGTTTACTTTGACTTGACCTTAATCCGAGATGGGTCGTAGACGCAGGTTTCGGTTCGACCTGAGTTGACCATGCCACAGTTCGGCGGAACCCAGGCTGAGTCGTAGCCTTGCTCATGCCAGGTCGTGCGCAGGGCATCGTTCTGGGAGGTGATCTTCTTGGTCTTGCCGGGCCTCACATGAGTGGCAATCAAATCCCGGTGTTAAAATGGTCTAATGAATTGCCCAAATCCATGTCAGGAATTTACGAGGCTTTCAAACGACTGCGCCTTACTAGCCTTGACCTACCCGAATCGGTTTTGAGCAAGTGCCTTACGTCTAGCTCCAGCACAGTGTCCCCATACTTCTCGGCCTTCTGCCGGTCACGCGAGACGTAGACGCCAGGGCCCAGCATTCCGCTGCTCGACGGACGAAACCCATTTTGCTTGATGGACTGCACGTTTGCGGCGCTGGTCCCGTGGTACATGGTCATCACGCGGCCTGTGCTACCATTGCTTGCATTGCCGGAGCCATGGCAAGCATCGCACTCGCACTCTTTCCTTGGCGGACTTAGACACCTTGCCAAAAACGAAGACCTTTTGCTGGTTGAGAGGAGGCATGAAGGAAAAGCAAGGAGGTAAAAAGACAACACAAAAGCCAAGCTAAGTATAGCAATGCTTCGGGGCTCCACCGCCCAAGATGCCCCCAGCCACCATGCCAACAGGACCCAACGTTGCGGCCCCGATGGCACCGCCAAGCAGTGCTGCTCCGACATTGAGCCCTTTGCTTTCGACTTTACCTGCCACGGTGTCAGACTGAGGGATGATTAAGCTGACATGGCTGGGCCATCGGACACTCAGGCCAGCTTCTTTAAACATGTTGAAACTACGATTGGTTAAACTTAGGCGCTGGTTGTTTGAAGGGTTAGGCCAAACGCCTTGTTTGAACATGTCAAGCCACTATTGGTTCAACAACCTCCTGGCCTTTTTTGGGGTAGCTGGTTGTTTGGAATCCATGCCCCTCTCTGCCTGATCCCTGGCAAGCGGTGCACTTCTCGTTGGAGCTCCCCATCTTCGTCTCGACTCGGGCCAAATCTGGGGCTCTCTAGCCGCGCTTGGAGGTCCAACTGGGGACGGACTCTGGGCCACGTGGCAATACTTTTCACTCTCCAAACATGAGACATGGATTGGGAAAACGAATTCGCGGGGATATCGGGGAAGCGAGGCTGTGCCAGGATTCCCTGTAAAGGAAACCACGTCTAAATACCCGGCAAATATGGCTTCCCCGGCCCTGCTAATGAGCTTGTCTGAGTGAACCCCTATTGAAGTAGCCTTCGCTTTGGGGGACGTCGCCCCCCCCCCCCCCGGCCCTAGCAACGTCGCTATAATTTTCCCAGACGGATGCCTGATCGTTTTTTTGTTTTCAATATCAAGTCCGTGTACAAACTGGCTGAAGACCATGCCAAACCCGATGAAGTAATTGGCACCAGCGCCGCCGGCCGATTTCAACAGAATCTTCAATAGACAACGGCCTGCTTCCAACATTGGCATTAGGTAGCTGCACTTTGTGTTTCTTTCCCATTTCCAGATTCAAGCAACCCCTTGCTGATTCAGTGATTCAGCAGGGCAGCCTTTTCCCGGACAGTGAACAAATCCCCTCAAACAGGGGACGGGGCACGCCGCTGAACTTGTCTGGAAGTTTGATCCTGTGTTCCGATCGAGCTCTCAGAAAGCCTGTCTTGAAACCAATTGGTATCCTCAAAAACGGACACCCCCACATCTGGCTGTCCTCAGATCCCCCGCTAAAAGTTTAACTTTTCGTGGGTTAAATGGGCTAAAAAGCTAGGATCGGCGAAAATTAGTAACCTAACATGTTGTTTGCCATGAACATGCTCCGAACCCAACAACAAAACAACTTGTTGCTTGCCACTAAAACGTTCTCTTAAGCCAAACAGTGACATTCACTCCTTTCACGGAAACGGAGTGAGCTGCCATATATTGCTCGACCATGGGTAGGGTGCCCGGAAAACGGACGTTCCAGCCTCGTGGATTCTTGGGAGAAAAGGCCGGCTGGTTGACACTTCTTTTCTGGGCTGTCCTCAGATCCCCCGCTAAAAGTTTGACTTTTAGTTGGTTAAACGGACATCCAACCACTAAACACTAAAATGCGAAAAAGCTATTGAACCGGATGGCTGGGAGCCACCAAATTTGGGGGGTTCCGTTTTGATACAAATCCATTTTGAAGGGCTTCCCCACACCGAAGAGGCCAACGCCCAGTGGAGGTCTAGGGACCTTGGAGCAATGCCTCCTACTCCCAAAAACAACCGGGAAACCTGAATGGGAGCGTCTGGTGAAGCTATTTGGTTTGTTGAACATTGACGTCCCAGTTTGTCCAATCTCTGTCTCAGAATAAGGGAAGCCCCCAAAGCAGCAGGTTCTCTTTGGTTTCCCTTTAACACCAACTGATGTGTGGGTGCCCTCAAAAGCAAATGACACTCTCGTGTAGGTACTCACCACCGTCGGGGTTTTCCACTCACAAATGAAGCGGACATCTGACCACCTGTAGCTGAGATCTATCGAGGTACTTGAGACTGGAGGATTGAGGTTGGAATCAAGGAATTCAACCACATGTGGTCAAGCCTCCCAACAGCTGGCTGGGGCTCAAAATTAAACAGGGGGGGGTTGCGCGGGTTTTGGTCCGTTTCCACTTACCAGGGTTCCATTTTGGTACCAGTTGTTTGAGCCACAGCCAGCTGGGCTTCCGGCTGAAGCAAGGGGGTCTCAAAATAGGTTGTTCATTTCCTTTGAACCAACCTGAACAGGGGACCCTCCAAACACCCAAGGGACCTTCACGGGGCTCGAGCTCGTTTGAGTCGCAAATTGGCGAGCTTGCAATCATCTTGCTGTTGCGATAGGTAGAGAATGTGGGAATGAACCCAGCAGTCCCCTTAACGGAAGCCACAATAGGGGTCATTCCCTCATTCCCAGCAAGAAATTTGTGCAGTAAAATGGAACTGAAGCTATTGAAGGAAACATTGCTGGTATACTCTTGCGTAACCACTACGTACACCCAGAGCTTGGGGAGGACAAGGGAGAAGATCTCAGGGGGGGAAAGGCCTTAGGGGGGAAAGAGGGGAAAGGACCTCAACAGGGAAAGGGGGCAAAGGATCTTAGGGAGGAAAAGGGAGAAGATCTTGGGGGGGAAAACGCCTTAGGGGGGAAAGGGCGGGAAAGGATCTCAACAAGGAAAGGGGGGAAAAGATCTTAGGAAGGAAAAGGGGGAAGATCGCGGGGGGAAAAAAGGCCTTAGGGGGGAAAGGAGGGAAAGGATCTCAACAGGGAGAGGGGGGAAAACATCGTAGGGAGGAAAAGGGAAAAACTCAGAGGGAGAAAGGGCCTTAGGGGGGAAAGGGGGAATGGATCTCAACAGGGAAAGGTGGCAAAAGATCTTAGGGAGGAAAAGGGAGAAGATCTCAGGGGGGGAAAGGCCTTAGGGGGGAAAGGGGGGAAAGGATCTGAGCAGGGAAAGGGGGGGAAAGATCTTAGGGAGGAAAGGGAGAAGATCTGGGGGCAAAGGCCGTAGGGGGGAAAGGGGAGAAATGATCTCAACAGGGAAAGGGGTGGAAAAGATCTTAGGGAGGAAAGGGAGAAGATCTGGGGAAAAAAGGCCAACAGGGAAAGGGGGGAAAGATCTAAGGAAGGAAAAGGGAGAAGCTCTCAGGGGGGGGAAAGGCCTGAGGGGGGAAAGGGTGGGAAGGATCTCAACAGGGAAAGGGGGGAAACAATCTTAGGAAGGAAAAGGGAGAAGATCTGGAAAGGCCTTAAAGGGAAGGGGGGAAAGGATCTCAACAGGGAAAGGGGGCAAAGGATCTTAAGGAGGAATAGGGAGAAGATCTCAGCGGGGGGAAAGGCCGTAGGGGGGAAAGGGGGGAAAGGATCTCAACAGGGAAAGGGGGGGAAAGATCTCAGGGAGGAAAGGAAAAAGATCCCAGGGAGGAAAAGGCCGTAGGGGGGAAAGTGGGGGAAAGGGAGGAAAAGGGAGAAGATCTCAGGGGGGAAAAGGCCTTAGGGGGGAAAGGGGGGAAAGGATCTCAACAGGGAGAGGGGGGAAAACATCTTAGGGAGGAAAAGGGAAAAAATCAGAGGGAGAAAAGGCCTTAGGGCGGAAAGGGGGAATGGATCTCAACAAAGAAAGGGGGGCAAAAATCTCAGAGGGGAAGGGGGCAAGGGGACAATTCCAAAGGGACGCAAATAAGAAAGCAGGCCTGTAATGTCGGCGGCCTGAGCCGGAGGCGTTAAAATCCAACCACTAAACCCTAAAAATACCCCAAAAAGCCAAGGAACCGGATGGCTGGGAGCCACCAAGTTTTGATCGTCGCGGCTTCGGAGATTGAAACGCCCGCATCATCCCTCGCTGCCCCTTCCCTTCCCTTCCCAGCCTCGGGAGACTTTCAGCCATGTCCACGGCATGCGCTCGCTTCTTTGGCGAAGACCGCGCATCCCTGAGACGGCGGCAAAGAATGGACACCACTTCTCCGAATTGATGTGTGTGCATGTGTGTGTGCTTGTCTGTTTGATGTTGTTTCTTTGTTTGATTGTTTGGCTTGTTTGATTAATTATTTGTTGGTTCGTTTATTTCTTGAGTGTACCCGGGTGCCGTTGTTTGTTTTCTTTTTGTTTGATTGATTTGTTTGTTTCTTGTCTTCTTCTTTTCTTTTTTTTTGGGGGGGGGGTTGGCTCATATAAAGCGAAACCACCTGAGATCATCTGCTTGAGGTCCGACGCATCTTTGGGCGTTCCTCAAAGTCCAGGGGGTCGCTGCCGGCAAAAACCCAGGTTGCAAAGAACGATGGTTTGACTAGATTGAGCTGGTCTGTCCTGAGCTCCCCCGCTAACTTTTATTGGGTTAAATAAACATCCAACCACTAAACACTAAAAGGCTAAGAAGCTCAGGAACCGGATGGCTGGGAGCCACCAAGTGAGGCATCGACCCATCTAAAAAAATAAATCGTGGGATTTCAACTTCTGATTTCTGGAATCCCGTGCTCGATGAGGTCCATCCCCACTCCGGGATGGATAAAAGGGGTACCTCAAACAACAAAGCTTCGATATACACAGACACCATATAGGTATACGTGTGTGTGTGTGTGGGTGTGTTTGTTCAGCATACCCTTTCTTGGGATTGAATCCAAAAGGAAAACCGCACAGTGACTGTTTGTCCTATTGGAAATGAACACCTTAGATGGGCGGGGAGCGAAATGTCGCTCAGCTTGCTGCCGTCCGACTTGATCGACACAACAGAAAGATGGTCCCGAGCAAAGGGAAGTTGTAAAGATAGCCAAGCACGCAAACATGGGTTGTTTGTTGTACATGGTTTCTTTTGGGAATAACACAAATTCACAAAGGCTTGCACGTGGTTTGTTCATTGAGTTCAGGCTCGGAGCACAGGCTCTGGGTGGGTGAAACTAGTGGGAACCCATGGAACTAGCCGCGAGGTCGATGAGACAAGGCAGATGTGTCCTTGTAGCTGTTCTGAGTAGACTGGTCAAAAGCGTGCTCAGCTGGTAGGCCTTCCTGCTGAGGGCTTCTATTGCTTGAGTCTCCTGGAACAAATATGCCTAGAAGTGCTACATAGATTCCCTTTAAAACCAACAGAGAACACAACACATATTCTTAAGTTAAGCAAATGGAAGTGAACCAAATAATTCATTCTGGGCCACCCCGCGTTGTGTCAACGTTCAGCGTTTAGCATTTCTCAAGGTGGGCGGTTTTGGGAAACTTGAACCTCGTCGTAAGCAAGGGGAAGAGGGTGCTTGGGTGTTTGGCCAAGTCAGCAAGTTGAAACAGCGACCAGGTTACAACCGCTCAATGGGGCAACCTGTTTATCAGGGGGTGAACAACTCCAAGTGGCGATCATCACGTACTAACTTGGCGACGAACATTGGAAACTTGGGCGGAGACCAGGAAATGATGGAATCCCTAGGGGCAGGTACCAGGGCGTGGGTAGTTGAGAGACCCCTTCGGCTTTCTCAGGGTTTGGCAGGAAAGCAAGGCCCCTGTTGGGTGGGTTGA